TAAAAAACAAAGCCTTCAATATTTTATCATTACATTAGGGTTAGTCAGATTTTCATCACTGTGATGAAATATCTGACATAAGTTATTTAAAGGGGAAAAATTATTTTGGGCTTACTTTCAGATATTCAGACCATGGTCAGCCAATTCCAACACTCTGTGCCTGAGGTAAGGCCGAACACCATGGTGCTAGAGAATGATATAGGAAAACTGCTCAGCTCATGGCAGCTCATGGCAGCTCATGGCAGCTCTGACAGCCAGGAGGCAGAAGAGGAGGGTCATAGACAAAATAAAAACAGTAAGTGTTTGCCCTAAGTGACCTACTTCCTCCAGCTGTGTCCCACCTGCCTATGGTTTTCACCCAGTAGTTCAATCAGATTAAAATGATTAATCTACTGATGAGGTTACAGCTTTCATACTCTACTCATTTCACCCCTGCATTGCCACATGAGCTTTCAGAGGATATCTGATATCCAAATCATAACAGGTATCACTTAGGTATAGATACTTTGTAAATACTATTTTCAAATGAAGAAATTTCCCTTCTTTTCTATCTTAGTAAAACTTTTATAATTGTATTTTTAATTTTGTCAAATCTTTTCATTTTCTAATAAGGTATCAAGCCTTTTCCCTTGACTTGGTTAATGTGGAAAAACATAGTGATCAAAGTTTGCAAATATTAAACAATATTACTTCCTTGGCATAATCCATACTTGTCGTGATTTTTTGGCATTACATATTGTTAGATTGAATCTATGCAATTCGAATTCTACAGTACACTATTATTAAAAATAAACACATTTTTTCATCAGCTCTGTAGGACTTTTTTATCTTGAGTGACTGGAACATCTGTATTATATATATCACAACAACTTCCCACTTCTTTTTCCTCCAAGTCCCTACAACCACCATTTTACTTTCTCTTTCTATGGATTCAACTACTTTAGATTCATGCAATATTTGTCCTTTTTGTGACTGGCTTTCATCAAATAGCCTAATTTATCCAAGGTTCATCTTACTTGTAGCATGACAGAATTTCCTTCTTCTTTTATGTTTGAATCATATTCCATTGTATGTATGCTCTATATTTTCCTTATATACTCATCTGATAATGAACATTTAGGTTGCTTCTGTTGCTTGGCAATTGTAAATAATACTGCAATAAAATGCATGTACAAATATCATTTTAACATCCTAATTTTAATTCTTTGGATAAATGCCCATAAGAGGGATTGCTAAATTTGTGGTAGTTTTATTTTTACTTTTTTCAGGAACTTCCATACTGTTCCCTTAGTAGTTGTGCCATTTGTCATTCCTATCAAGAGTACACAATTATTATAATTTCTCCACACCCTCATCAACACATTGTTTTATGATCACCATGCTAACATACATGATGAGATAGTCTCTGTAATTTTTACTTGAGTTTCCCTAATGATTAACAATTGAGCTTCGTTTCATATACCTATGGACCATTTTTGTGTTTTCTTTGGAGAAAGGCTATCAAACACCCTGACCCATTTTCTTTTGTTAAATACTGAGTTGTAAAATTTCCTTATATATTTGGTATATTAACCCCTTATCAGATACATTGTTTACAAATATATTTTATAATTCCATGTGTTCCCTTTTCAATCTGATTTCCTTTTGCTGTGCAAAAGATTTTTGGTTTGATGTAGTACCATTTGTCTGTTTTGCCTTTTTTTTTTTTTTTTTGGTCTATGCTTTTAATGTCATATCCAAGAAATCATTACCAAGACCATGTTAGTAACGTTTTTTTTTCCTGTTTTCTTCTAGGAATTTTGCAGTTTCAGGTTTTACAATAAAGTTATTGGTATGTTTTCAATTTATTTGTGTTTATACTATAAGATAAGGATCAAAAATATAAAAGTAACTTTGGAACTAGTAGAGGCTTGATGAGTTTATAAGTATATGCTAAAAAATGTCTAGTTTTCCACTGTTAGAGCATTAAGAGTGATTCTGGTAAGTGTTCAGAAGAGTAGAGCTGTATGGAAAGCCTCAGTCTTCTTAGGAATTATCTAAGGATTGGGATCAAAATCTGGAATTGGGATGGAATAGGCAATTTTTATGAGGGATGACTTTAGATATTTGGCAGAAGACATCTTTAAGCAAAATTTTAAAGGTGCTTTATGGCTTCTCAATTACTTACAGAGTTAAATTAATTAAATTTATAATTTATAATCAAGAGTGAAGCAGAATTTAAAGATTTAGAAAATTATAATCTTGACACAATTATAAAAAATAATAAAAGGTATATTAGGGAGAGAATATCAAGGGTGTGGCTAAAAAATAATTTGAAAAGGAGATTAAAATAGATGGAAGGATGCCACAATCTATTCATCAAGATAATGAGAGATTGACCCTGAAGACATTTCTGAGATCTTCAAGGCTGTCACCTTCTTCATAGCCCCAGAGCCTTAATGCAAGAACCATTTCAATGAATTCTTGGTGTTCAGGGGCTCACCACTAGTAATGCCTCAAATCTCTTCTCTTTGTATTCTCATGCAATGCTACCATGCCTCCCCTGCATTACCCAAGCAGGTAATGCATTATTCAGGCCAAATATAATATACAAATATATAGTTTGTAAACCTCAGAAACATTTATATAGGGCTAATTCTTCAGGCACAAGTGTGGAAGAGTTGTACAGACCTAGATACCCTAACCTAGATTTGAAAAAAAAAAAAAAGTTTAAAAGAGCCTTGAAATCTAATCAGAATTTCCACAGAGGCTGGGCTGTGTACACAGTCCCCACTAGGGTAATGACAGGAAATTTGGGGTTTCTGAACATCACAGAGAGCTCCCATTAGTTCAATGCTTAGTGGAAACAGGGAAACAGGGCTACTCCAGAGATCTCAGAACTGTATATTCACCTGCATTCAACCTCAGCCTGGGAGAGCCCTCAGACACCTGATTCCAACCTAATAAAGGTACAAGCAGGACCATACCCAGCAGCCATGAGGATAGTATGTCCTGAAGTTTAGGAGACCCAACCCCCATCCCAGTGTTTGGAAGTTGGATTATAGAGTCCAAAAGATTATTCTCAAGCCTTAAACTTTAGTGTTGATTTTGGACTTTTGGATTTGCTACCTTTTTTCTTGTCTATATATCCCTATTTGAATGAGAATGTCTACCACCTGCCTATACTAATCATTGTATTTTAGAAGCACATAACTTGTTTCACTTCATGGTCTCATATCTGGAGGGAAAATGCCCTAAGAATGAATCATACTTGAGTCTCACATAAGATGTAGACACTGCTTAGATGAGACTTTGGATTTAGACTTTAAATGATAAAAGGAGGCAAAAGCTTAAGGAGCTACTGGAATAAAATGAATGCATTTGTATGTGAGGACATGAGTGTTGGGGATAAAGGGTAGAATGCTATATAGCTTGAATGATGGTGTTCCCTTATGCATGTTGAACCTTAATCTCCTATGCAATGATATGTAGAACGGTGGCAAAAACTTTCTTAAAGTTCATGAGATAAGAGTTAATAAGTGGGATGGCATCGAGTTAAAAATCTTCTGCACAGCACAGGAAACACTTAGGAATGTGCAAAGATAACTTACTGAATGGGCGAAAATCTTTTCTAGCTAGTATTTTGACAGGATTAAAATAAATAATTCCAAAACTCAATGTCAAAAAAGAAATAACCCAATTGACAAATAAATGAATTAAATAGACATTTTTTTCAAAATAAGAAATACAAATTGCCAACAAACATAAGAAAAATGTTCAACATCATTAGCATTTAGGGATATTCAAATCAAAACTTCACTGAGATTTTATGTCACACAGTCAGAATGGCAGTCATCAAGAATACAAATATTAACAAATGCTAGAGAGAATATGGAGAACAAGAACACTTTTACACTATTGGTGGGACTATAATTAGCACAAGCACTATGGAAATCAAGATGGAAGTTCCTCAAAAGGCTAGACATGGAACCACCATATGGCCAGCTATATCACTCCTTGGTGTTTATGCTAAAGAAGTAAAATCGACATACTATAATGATAAATGCATAGCCTTGTTTATAGCAGCACAATTCATAATAGCCAAACTATGAAACTAGCCTAGATGTCCATCAACAGATGAATGATTATGGAAAATGTGGTATGTGTACAAAAAGAAAAATGAAAAAAAAAGAATTTTTTTTTGCAGGAAAACAGACCGAACTTGAAACCATTGTGTTAAGCAAAATAAGTCAAACCCAGAAGGTCAAGAGTCCTGTGTTTATTCTCACAGTGGAAAGTATAGAGGGGAAAAAAAGGCAAAGAAAAGTGGGGGAGGGGGCAGGAGCAGAAATTAATTCAAGGGGTGGAAAAAGGAGAAGGAGGGGGAGTGATGGGAAGTGATATTGTCCAAATTATAGTGTGTGTGTACAAATATGTAACAACAAATTCCATCATTATGTGCAACTATAATGCACCAATAAAAAAATGTGGAAAAAAAAGAACTATGGCTGCAGGATTAGCATCCATATAAAAGGTTTCAAGGCTCTGAAGAAAGTATTCTCTTGCCTTTCTGTCTTGAAGCCCATAAGGACACAACAAAGATGCCATCTTGGAAGCAAAAAGTAGCACTCAGCTGACACCAGTGTTGGCATCTTGATCTTGATTTCCAGTCTCCATAAATGTAAGAAATGAATTTCTGTTCTTAATATACTATATAGAGTATAAATTACTTATTCTAAAGTATTTTGTTATAACAGCACAAACCAAGACAGTTAATCTAGCTAAAATTTTCAACTGTGTTAATTTATTAAAGGACCAACTCAATCTCAATGATTATTTTCTATTACCTATTTCATTTTTTTTCCTGCTCTAATTTTATTTTCTTTCTTCTGTTACTTTGGGATTATTTTGTTTTGTTTTGTTTTCTAGTTCCTGGAGATGTATGTTAGTCAATTTCCATTACTGTAACAAGAATCTGAGATAAATCAACTTATAAAAAGAGAAGGCTTATTTTGACTCACAGTTTTGGAGTTTCCCATCCTTGATTGATCATGTTACTTTCAACCTGTGGTGAGAGAGTAAGCCATGATAGATGTGCATGGAGGACAAAAACTGCTCACCTCATAGCAGGGGAGTAAAAGAGGGAATAGGAAGGGGTAGGATTCCTTCCACCTCATTCAAAGTTATGATCAGCAGCCTGAACACTCCCACTGAGCCACATCTCTTACAGATTTCCTCGTCCTCCAATAGTATCATGCTGGAAACCCAGCCTTTACCATATGGACATTGGGAAAACACATAGGATCCAAACTACATCCAGGTGTAGAGTTAATACAGGTATTAATCACCATAAGCTTCCATTTTAATACCACTTTTGCTGTATCCCATAAGATTTAATATATTGTATTTTCATTTTTGTCTTCAGGTATTTTCTAATTTCCACTTTGATTTCTTCATGATCCATTGGTTGTTCAAGATCGGGTGGTTTAATTTTCACCTCTTGGGAAAATTTCCAGATTTTCTTCTACCATTACTTTATAGTTTCATCTCATTTATAATTGGAAAATATATACTTGGTATTATTTCAATCTTCCTAAATTAAATACACACACGCGCACACACACACATATATATCTCTCCTGGAGAATATTCCATGTAGGCTAGTCCATTTTATCTACAATGTTATTCAAGTCCTCCGTATCTTTAATGATCTTCTGTCTCTATGTTGTATCCATATTGGAAGTATGGTATTACAGTTCCAATAATTTACAAATGTGTTACTATTTTTCCCTTCAGTTCTATCAATGTTTGCTTTTGTATTCTGGTGCTCTGTTTTCTCTGATATTGGATTGATGCTCAATCACAATAAGCAGGTGAGGGTAGGGAAGATTTGAAGTCCATTAGACAAAGAGGAGTAGGAATAGGAAACACAGTAGAATGAATCGGACATTACTTTCTTATGAGCATATATAAATATATGACCAAAACAATTCACATGGAGAAAACTAGAAGAATTTGACGTTATATTCCTTATATTATAATATGTCAAAATACATTCTATTGTTATGTATAACTAAAAACAAATAAAAAATAAAGAAAGAAATTCAATGAAAAAGAAGAAAATTGATTGAAGGAAGTTACAAATTGCCAAATTTGGGGGTCAATCTGAATAAACACTGACTCAAAAAATTGTGGTATAAGAACTAGATAAAAATAAAACACTGGAAATAATACCATGAGAAATGGGAGAGATAATGCTAATTAAAGCTTTCTAAGAAGTATGTATTGTTCTAAAGAAGTACAGAAATATTTATTCAATTGTCAAGTACTTAGGTCTATAAAATGATGCAGGCATATTTCTCAGGTATTAATCACAATAAAAATTATATCTATTCATTACTTTTCTGTTTACCCTCAGTTCAGGATTTTAAAAAAGTAATAAGGTAACAAGTAGTCTTCCTTATCTAGTTAACAAGCATATGCACTACTAGAAAAGCTATTTCAATTATTATCTTCTTTTCAAAGGCCTCTGAGCACCTCACTTATTCTTCCTATCAGACATTAAATCCTTCCTCTCATCCATTCTCATCTTTTCATTTTAAGCTTTATCTCAAATCAAATTAATATAGGATAGTTACTCATGTGTTTCTGAATTATGTGGAAAATTTTACCAAATATACATACTGAATTCCACTGTCATGTTTCCAGATAAGCTTAAGCAGCAAGACAAAGACAAGTCCCAGGCAGTATTTTTTTACTTCCAATTCATTGTATTACAATTCCACTTGCATTTTCCAGGATAACTTGTTATCACTTATAACTTATTACATGCTGCATATACCCTCAGAAATAACTTACTGTACTAAGATCCCAAAAGATCAGACTTAATCTATAGGTCTGTACCTGTCCAAAATCTTTGATATTTTTGAAGCAATATATTCTCATTGTAAGATAATTAAAAAGCATTTTTAAAGGATGTAATGTTCTTAATTCCTTCTTCTTCATTTTATCCTAATATGTATGATAGTATGTATACTTTTTTCTAAGGAAGTAATTTCATGTTTTATGCACCAGTTTGTTCTTGTCTTTCTTCACACAATATTATAGTGTGGTCATTCTCAAACATCTTTATAAAAATCTTCCAACACTTAAACTTTTGTGTTATATTTTTTCATATAGAGGTGTTGTGATTTATTTACCTGGTCTACATTGTTGAATAAAATAGTCCTCCAGTTTTTACTAAGATAAACAATGATGTAAAGTTGTTCAGCATAAATATTGGCATTAATCTCTGAGAATTTCTTCAAAATAGAAGGAATGGAATTAGTGGATGTAATATTTTTAAGGCTCTTCATTCCAGATATGTTGTTTTAAGGCTCTGTAATTTATGTATATTTATTTCTTTGTGAGTGGTCATGCTACCTCAAAAAATCTACACTTTTTTGCAGACCACTGTAATATGTGGTCTAAGGATAGAACATTTTAATCTTCATAGAGTAGACTGGGATTGCAGAGAAGAGACCTGAAAGTTTTTCTTCATTACAGCTTACTTGCTCTGTGGTCTGTAGAAATTCACGGAACTATTTTGTTGAAAAACTGCCTCAAGGTTCTACTGAGTAAGGAAGAATGGGGAGGATGCACTTATTTTCTTCAAAATAGGACCATACACTGTAAAAATTCAAGCAGACAAAACTAGATAGAAAATGAAGAGCTGAATTTAACACACAAGAGCCAGCCAGTGCCTATATTGCTTTGGGGTTGATACTGCAAAGAATTTATTTAACTATCTGTAGAAGTTTCCAGAAATTGAAACAGCTTTTGGTCTTTCACAAAAAGGCATTTTTTTGGAGCGGGGGGGAGGTGGCTTGAGTTGTGGCTCAGTGGTAGTGCATTCCTCTGGCATGTGTGAGGCACTGAGTTCGATTCTCAGTACCACATAAAAATAAAGGTGTTGAAAACAAGGCATTTTTTTTTCTGTTTGCGCTCCAAAAATTTCCCACTTTAAACAAAATTTATTTTAAAAAACTAATTATGTTACAAATTATCTTATCAATTTTTTATTTTTACAGGTTGCTTCCTTTTTTTCTATTCTTTACTTGAATGCTCATTTAAATTTAATACAGGAAATGTTTTAAGTATTTTAAAAACATTAATACTAGAACATCCCCTGACATGATGCTGATTTGGTAGAAGCAGAAAAGAGCATCTTTAAAATATCTCTTGCAGTTTTGGATCTTGTAAAAACTTTTGGTAATTTATAAAAAGCTTTCTTTCTACGAACATTTATGAACAATTTGTGTCTGGCACTGCATTAGACAATAAAAATTCAGAAAACAATAAGATAGATGATTTCTCTTCAAACGGTTCATGGCATGGTTAGAGAAATAAACATATAGTTATAATTACAGTACTATGGATAAACAATACTAGATTAGAAGGAACATTCAGATTGTATTCAATAATGACATATTCAGCCTTATAGTTAACTCTGGATAAAACTCTCAGAGGAAGTAACTTTTGACAATACAAAAAGGAAAAAAAAATGTTCACAGTAAAAATATTCAAAATAACATTAAAAGCTGAGGTGATAGCATCTTGCATTAAAAGAGCACAAGCTAAGAGTGCTTAGAAATGTCCCATCTAGATGATTTCTCTACTAAAATACAATCTGTTAATCATCAGGTATGCCTTCTCTTTCTTCTACAATCTTTTAAGAGATTACTAGAAACTGTTTTATTTGGTGTTTCTGTATAGATATTTTATATAACTCTCCCCATACTAAAACTGATTTTAAATAAATATAAACATTCAGTGATTGTGTTAGAATCAGAAGGGCCATGAGCTTTCAGGATTTGCAATACTTGCACATAAGCCAATAACTTAGCAGAACTTCAAGAAGCTGATGGTACATAAAAGAGACAATTTCCCCCTGGCTTGCACCCACTGCTATAAGCAGCACTTCTGGAAGAGTTGAACTGAGTACAGAAGAGCCTAGAATTCTTCCTAGGTCTCTGTGAGTTTCTGATCAGGACTTTGATGTCTTTGGAGTGAGGAATGATACAAATACAAAGAATTTATTACTAACTTTTCACTGAAAAATTATCTCATGAAAAAATTTAAGAGCTCAACATTAAAATTTCAACCTAACAAAACAACATTTTTTAAAAATTTTATAACTAATAACCTGCTAAATGCAAATAGAAAAAATAGCAATTAACATCTCTCATACTTATGTGGTGTTTCTGTACAAATGCCTATTAAATATTAAGGTGAAAAGTGGCTGGCAGCACTCCAGGGCTCTGCAAAGCCCAGAGCACATCAGTTGCCACCATTTATTTGTTTGCATCAGCAAAGGCTGCAATACAGAGATAATCAAGTTTCTCTCCCCTCTCAATTTACACCTATTTGTTTCTCCTTTTTTCTTATTATCCTTCCCCCCATTGAAAATCTATTTTAGCCTTTAAAAATTATGTAGAAAAAAACATAAATTAAACTGCAGTGGGAGATGTATTTTGAGATAATGCAGCACTGAAAAGGTTTACCATTCCCTCATATTTCCTAGAGTGAAGCATTCAACAATAACAAAAAAAAAAGGATTTTTTTTATCTTTTCAGTAGAAGTTAGAAGACTAAGACTAGCCTGATAGATGTGGAACAACAGAAAACACAGTGGAAGTGGAAGGAGGGATCACGTTCCAGGAGTGATACAGAGGGACTCTCCTAGATGGCAGTAGCAAGTCACTTGAAATCCCCAGATCCATAAAAAGATCTGGTACTTGACAGGCACTAATCACTTCCTCTCCTGCATAAGATGGTACATTTACTCCTCATAACAACTTGGAAGTAGGAGATATTGTGCCCATATTACAGATGAGGAAACTGAATATAAAGAAAATTAGGTAAAATATGTTACCTGTAGTGGATAGATTAAATCTCTACAGAATGCTAAAGCATATAATATTTCCTTGAATGGGGCTACCTCCCAAGACTTTCTCCAATATCACAACCCCACCCACCTTTTTTATTTTTTCTATAGTCTTATACTCAGGAGTTATCTACTACATTA